GATGATGCTGATGATGATGATGATGATGATGATGATTGATGATGATGATGATGATGATGATGATGGAGGAGGAGGAGGAGGAGGGAGGAGGAGGAGGAGGAGGAGGAGGAGGAGGAGGAGGAGGAGGAGGAGGAGGAGGAGGAGAGGAGGAGGAGGAGGAGGAGGGGAGGAGGAGGAGGAGGAGGAGGAGGAGGAGGAGGAGGAGGAGGAGTAGGAGGAGGAGGAGGAGGAGGAGGAGGAGGAGGAGGAGGAGGAGGAGGAGGAGGAGGAGGAGGAGGAGAGGAGGAGGAGGAGGAGGAGGAGGAGGGAGGAGGAGGAGGAGGGGAGGAGGAGGAGGAGGAGGAGGAGGAGGAGGAGGAGGAGGAGGAGGAAGCACTGCCCACTTTCATCGGGAAGCCAGCCGCTTGCACACTTCTAGCCCCGCCCGGTGTTTCGCCCTCGCGCCCGAGGCGGCTCGCCCTCTGGCCGCCGCGGTCTCTCTCGCCGTCCTCGTCGCCGTCGTCGCCGCGGTCGCCGTCGAGGTCGTGGTCGTGGTCGTGGTCGTGGTCTTGGTCGTGTCGTCGTCGTCGTCGTCGTCGTCGTCGTCGTCGCTGTCAGGGGCCTATCGCTGGCTGGGCCTGCCCCGCGTGGCATCCTCCCTGCCGCGCTCCCGTGGGCTCTCGGCGGTGCGGGGCCCGCAGCGCGCGCGCGGCCGCGCCAGGCCTGCCACACGCGGCGCATCGAGCCCCCAGCCGCCTATTCGTCGCCAATCGAGACGAGCGAGCAACTCACACCCATACCCATAGGAGGGTCGAGCGGAGGAGGACTGCCTATGGGTATGGGTGCGAGTTGTCGGACCCTGGGGGAAGCTCCCGTTCCAGCGGGGACCCCAATCCGCCAACACGCACCCATATCCCCCTCCGTCCCCCCTATGGGTATGGGTGCGTGTTGTTTGATCGCCAAATCGGGGCCCAGGCCCCCCACCCCGACAAGTGCGCACCTCCACTCCTCTGATTCGATTCGATTCGATTCCGATGGACTCTGACTCCGATTCGATTCGGCTTCGGAGTCCGATTGGGGCTCCGATTTCTCAATGGGGCCCTTCTTCTCTGCCGATTTCCGCCGATCCGACTCGGCTGCCGATGTTCGCCGATCCGGTTCATTTCCATCTCCGATCCGACTTATCGATTCGATTCTGGGCTCTCCTGCCCCGCCCAGGGACGTGTGGTTTCGCTATTAGGGGCCTGTCGCTGACCTCAAGGCGGTGTGCCGTCGATTGAAGGTCATTGTTTGCCCCCCTTGGCCAGTCCCCCCCCTTCGACACTCCTGAGCCCCAAGGCCGCCTTGTTCACCCGTCGTTCGTTGAGTGTGGGTTACTTCTGGAGTCCCATATCCTAGGCGCTCGAGGCGCTTTCCTCTTTGTGTTTCAAGGAGCCGAACGGCCGCCCTGCTTTTTCCAATGCAAGGGGCGGGCCGCAACCCGACCTACTTTCGACCCCTTACTACCTCATGCTTCTACCCACTTCTTCCGATCGACTGGCACTGCCAGCACACTTTGCTGCGGCCGGCCTGTGGAAGCCTTAAGTCGCGTGTTCCTCTACAGGAGGAATGTTCAAGAATAGTCGAAAATTGTCAGGGGACGATTTTTCGACTAAGGATTTGTTTGAATATTCTTTATTTTTCCTCCAAAACCCGCCTGTAGGAGGACATGCCCGACCTAAGGGAAGCCCGTCAGACGTTTTTCTTCTCCGCCGAGGTGACGGAGCAACCGACCTGATTCTACCCATTTCTTCTGATCGATTGGCACTGCCCGACCTAATTCTACACACTTCTTCCGATCGACTGGCACTGCCAGCACATTCTCCTGCGGTCGGCCCAGGGACGCCCCGTCCGACGTTTTTGTCCGCCGAGGTGACGGAGCAACCTTCCCGTCGAGCGGAGTCCCTGCCGCGGGCGCGCACCGACTGCACGCCCACGCTTGACGCGTGCGCTCCAGCCGGGCCATGGCTTCCCGCGAGTCGGGGAAGGTCCCGGCCAGCACACGTTGGAAGGGACCTCTCGAGCTTTCGTCAGGCTGCGCCGTGTCCATAGGAGCAAGAACGCAGCTGAGCACAGGAGGGCGTGCAGGCAGCTACGGTGGGGGCCCAAATAACATACACCACCACTGCGTCGATTCCTCCTCTCTCCGCTATCCACCGAGAGGGAGGTGGGGAGGGAGGTGGTGGTGGTGTATATTCTTGGGTCCCCCATACGGAGCTCGGGAGCTCGGACATGCAGAAGCAAAGTGCGGATGACGCTGCAACGACCCAGGAAGCAGAGCCGTGGCTCCCCGCGCGACGGGGAAGGTCCCAGCGAGCAGTGCAGGGGAGCCACGGCGCCCGAGACAGGGGGAGACGAAGACAGCCCCTATCCTTAAGTCGGGCCTGTCCCTCTACAGGGGGAATACTCAAAAATAGTCAAAAACTAGCCTGGGGACGTTTTTCTTTGATATTTGTTTGACCATTTTGGGGTATTTGTGGGGTAAATTTAATTTTTCGTCCAAAATCCCCCTGTAGAGGGACAGGCCCGACTTAGCCCTATCACACGCGCTGCCCCGCTGCGCGCTGCAGCTGCCCGTGGCCGGCCCACTGTTTCTCTAAAGGGGCCGTCGCAGCTCTGGCCTCGGCGGGCGTGCGGTGTTCCTCGCAGGGTGTCAGCTTCATCATCAGCACCGTCATCATCACCATTGCCCGCTTGCCTCGGCCGAAGCGGTTGAGCGCTCTTGGCGCTCAGGTGATTCTGAAGTCGTGCGCCGAGGCGCACGAGACCGAGCGTTGTTGCCGCAGGGTCAAAGGGAAACGCCTCCGTCCGAGGGGCAGTACGAGCGGGGAGCTCCTGACCCTGGTAGACGCGTGGACCATCACCACCATCATCATCAACAGCGTTATCGTCATCGTCATCGTCATCGTCGTCATCATCATCATCATCATCACCATCATCATCATAATCGTCATCATCAGCATCATCATCATCCTTATCATCGCCACCATCACCACACCCCTCATCATCATTATCATCAACACAGCCGTCATTATCACCATCATCATCATCACCATCATCATCATCATCATCATCATCATCATCATCATCATCATCATCATCATCATCATCATCATCGTCATAACCACCATTATCATCAAAATGGCCGTACTCATGATTATTATCGTCACCCCTTTTCTGGCTCTTGCTCCTGCGTTGCTGTTCCTCCTCCGTCTGCTGCCCCCCGCACGAACGGGCTTTTCCGCGCTAGATGGCCAACCCGCGCGACTGCAGCCGCCAGGTGGCCCAGCCAGAAGCGCCGACGATGATGGGCAATTTTTCCACCACCACTACCATAGCTAGGATTGGGGAAAAGGTCGGATGGGAAGGGGTTTTCCGCCGCCATTTCATCTTAATCTTTCCGCGCCCGTCTCATTCGCGCCTTCACAGACACTCGCCTTGTACACGTGCGTACTGAATACTATCACATTCCATCATGATCATTAATTTTTAGTCTCGTCTTCCTCGTTCCTCTGCTGCCTGTGGTACTGGTGGTGGAAAATCGGCCCATCAGACGAGGCGCCCTCCCCCCTCCTCCTCCTCCTCCG